TTTATTGCAAAATAGAGAAAAAACATTTTACATTTAAGTAAGCTTCTTAACCTTGTAGTCTATCTTATTCGTAAAACACACAAAATGACCAATAAAAAAAAGTGTCAAGCACCAAAATCAGCCCATATTAAATCTAGAAGTTATCTTTAATTCAAAAATACGCATTTTCATATATATATATATATAAAAAAGTGCTGGGCTGTAGGCTTGCCGCGATAGACTGTGCTGACGGTGATACCGGTGTTAAGCCACAACACCGGTTACGTCACTTGGGGTAAGATTTCATGACATTTATGATGTCTACTGTACTCACAGTGATATAGCTATGCTGGCTACCTACAACAACAGCTAGGGTCGATTACGTTAGCTAACAACACAGTTGACTTACCCTTCCAGTGACGACATAGCAGGTTGAATATTCATCAAAAAATTAGATTGCCTCCATTTGTACCCCTCCAGGCTTTTATAGACTTTTAAAGATTCTCCGGAGTAACGTTAGGAGGGAATGTTGATTAGGTAGTTGTATATATACTGCAGGTCAGGAAATCTATCCGTTCCTTTATTGATACAGGTTAAAAGCACCATGGGGGCATTATAGGGATCTGTTATGCTTAATCTATTAAGTTTTGCTATGTACAGGTCTATGTCTTTTGAATTAAAGTACGCAGTGAACTCTTTTGCCTTGAAACTCATGCTGGCGCCATTCATTTCATATTCGCTCCCGGCTGTCCCTGCCTACCAGCATGGTGGTGTAAACAGAATGGGTCACGTGACGTCCGGAGCTCTATATGTGTGGTTTTAACTGTGTTTATCATGATTTAAATGTATGTTACTATGGGAGACCGATGCTTAATTTAAAAAATAAAAAAATAAATAAATTTGAATCAATTTAACCATATAAAACTGAGGTTGCTACCATTTTTAGAGATGTTACTGATTTTGATAATGAACACAAATTTACCTCTGCATCCTAACTCAAGCTACTATCAAATGTGCATTTCTAAGACAAAAAGAGATATAATTATTATTAATATTATCAGGCAACCCAAACCTGCTTCTTGATTTGAAACGATACCACTTAACCATATAAAACTGAGGTTGCTACCATTTTTAGAGATGTTACTGATTTTGATAATGAACACAAATTTACCTCTGCATCCTAACTCAAGCTACTATCAAATGTGCATTTCTAAGAGACAAAAAGTGATATAATTATTATTAATATTATCAGGCAACCCAAACCTGCTTCTTGATTTGAAACGATACCACTCATTAGAACATGCAGAAACTAAGAAATTAATTTTTCTATTTTTCTATTTATTTTGTTAAGGAAAACTAATGGTCTGGTTTGGAGCAAAAATCTGGCTTTAAACTTGAAAGAAATAAAGATTTGACATTTATCGTGATAATTATCGATATCGACTGATATGAAATTTTTTTTTGATTATCACTATAATAATATCACAATTATTTTGATAAATTTTTTTGGCCAGCCCTATGCAAATCTAATTCAAATCAAAAACAACTGCTCATGCAACATGTGTAGCATCTTTGTTTGGATCATGATTGAAATTCAGTGGTTGCCTCTAATTTCAAATGCCTACAGATTTATTTTTAAATAGCCAATAAATAAATGTGCTTAAAAAAATAAAATAAAATAAAAATGAACCACTATCAGAATTGGCCAATTTGCTAGTTTAAAAAAAAAAAAAAAAAGGCCTTAAATCTGAAATGGCCATGACAAATCATCATAGGTGCATCACTAATTAAAATACCAAAAGGCCTTAAATTGAAAATACATTCTGGGCTGCCTTTATCAATTTTTTATCTTGTCTTTCATAAAGGCAGAGGTCAGGGATCTTGGGCTTCAAAAGGTTGGTGACCACTGTACTATATCCCAATTTGCCTTTTTAACAGGAAGAAACACACGGAAGAATATAAGGACTGAGTCCCATCAGTTCAATTCTCATATCAGCCAACCATTAAGAGCAGTGAGAAAATAACAGAGAAATGTTTCTCAGCATTAACAGGATTTGATATGACTCAACTATGTTTCTGAAGTCAGAGACTGTGTCAGCACTGGACAAGGCGGCAACATATGCGTTTACTGTCAAACTGCCTGAGCAGCATATTGTGAGATAAGAAAACATGCAGCCCACAAAACGCCTCCATACAACCATGTGAGAGACCAGAAGATATCTCTGCCAACACTCTAATTCACAAATATAGCAGCGATGTTCACTATGACACAAGCTCAGTTTTCTGCTTTTTTATGCCGTCTCTGTGAGTGACCTGCTACTGGATCTATGTCTGCATTAGTTGCTTTTCCTCCTCTGCCCAACCACCCCTTAAAGCCCCGTTCACACTGCCAGCGACACACAGCGACAAAGCGACATGCTCCCATTCATTTTCAATAGAGAGCTGGCGACACGAGCGACAGTGACCGTTGGCGACAGAATGTGGGCGTGTCAAGCGATGCGAGTCAAGTGACAAAAGTTAAGAAATGTTTAACTTTATGCAAATGAAGCGAATTTCGCGAGCGACAACCAATAGGAGTGAAGAATCTGTCAGTGGCACTCACACGTCACCGTCTCGAGTGCAGGCAAGACAGGACAGATTTCCTGAGCGATTTCACTGTTTTATATGATTTTACTGTAACCACATACATGGATATAAAAAATTATGCGTAGAAAAGAAACCGTTGGCTGTCTAAGTGAGTTTGATTCATACATTGATGGTCCGAGTTGTTAATTACATGATGCAGTGAGCAGTTTAGCACCGGTTAATGATTTAATGCACGAGCACTGCTGTAGTTTATATAACAACACTCTCCAACAGCAGAATGGTACTTTTATTTATTTTAAGTCTAATTCCTAGTCATAATAGAATTATATCTTAGTTTTACCGGCAATATACAGTTTGTGATTGTATTTTATATGTCCAGACGTGCAGTCTACCAATAACATTAGAGCTACAGCAGTAGGAACGCCCACAAGCGTCTTCACAGCACGGAGTTTAGCGACATGCAGCGAAAAAGTCGCTGGCAGTGTGAACGGGGCTTTTAGACATACAGCTTGGAATTTAAAGTGCAGACAGGCAAAATTAGGTCAAGCATGATCTGTACAATTAACGCATCCTCATCAGTAAAGTTGATCAGTAAACTGCATAAGACCCCATAAGTTTCCCTTTACTGTCAAACTGCCTGAGCAGCATATTGTGAGATAAGAAAGCATGCAGCCCACAAAATGCCTACATACAACCATGTGAGAGACCAGAAGATATTTCTGCCAACACTCTAATTCACAAATATAGCAGTGATGCTCACTATGACACAAGCTCAGTTTTCTGCTTTTTTATGCCGTCTCTGTGAGTGACCTGCTACTGGATCTATGTCTGCATTAGTTGCTTTTTCTCCTCTGCCCAACCACCCCTTACACATACAGCTTGGAATTTAAAGTGCAGACAGGCAAAATTAGGTCAAGTATGATCTGTAGAACTAACGCATCCTCATCAAGCACAAATATTTACTAACTAGTTTGTGAAATACATAACTTACTGTAAAGTTAATAAACAATGACCCCATAAGTTTCCCTTTTCAATATAAGTCCAATATAACATTAACTCAGTAACATTAAGTATTCAGTAACGTAGAACATCGAAGAGTATGTATCTTTCTGCAGTCCAATAGAAGGCAGTGCGGTGGTGGCTTGAATGGTTATTTAGTTATTTATTCTCACCTAGTTGGTGAGACGCAATGCTATAAAGTAAATAAACAATGTCCCCGTCTTTTACTCTCACAATGAGCTTATCATACTGGTTTGCTACATTAGTAAGGCCCTATGATTTCCCCAATGCAGAAAACACGGGACGGAATCGCGGAATGCAGTCATAAAAATGGAATTTACTGTATAATGCGGAATTTCACTGAATTTGTCATTTTTTATTACAGGTCAGTACACTTAAATCAAATTGCGATATATACTAGTGTCTGTGAATATTAAACTGCAAAAAGACAATAGACTAAGATGCGAATCTTCATGTTCTGCATGTTCATTTGATTACCAGAAAAGTGTGTCCAAACTTTTGACTGGTGGTATTGTACTATAATTTACACAAAGAATATAAAAATCTTTATTAGCTGTTTCAGTTTTTGCAGGAAGGTAGATTTCCAAGAACAGGAATGGGCACTCCTGAACTAGGACATCATCATTTCCATTTAACATTATGTATATATATGGAAAAATATTTTCATGTATATAGAAAATCTTATCAATATCTGGCTAAGATGTTGGATAAAGCATGCATCCTTTAAAAATGTCTTTGCTATTCAGTAGGTTCATTGAGGCTATGTCTCATTTGTGTCTCGAAGGCTGTGCATTTGTAGGTCGTAGCCTATATGTCAGCTGCATACATTATCGAAGATGTCTCGTTTCAGAAAAATAACCATTATAAAATTGGACTATTACTCTTTGAAATGTAATAGCCTATGAAATTAGAGACAGCATAAATTTTTCACACTTCAAATAATAAGCAGGTCCAATGCATTGACCTACTTTTGATAAGCCCAGATATGACCTAAAACAAGAGTCTAACAGCCACCTAAACAAAATTATACAAACTTTATTAACAAAGTTCATACAAAAGTTCTGCATTAATTCAGAATTAATCATTATTGTGCCTAACTGTGTAGACAGAGAGCACTGCATGTTCAGAAGGCTTTGGGTTGGGTTAATAACATGCAACAAATCCAAAGACAATGGAAGTTGTTTGCTAACTGCTGTGACTAAACATTGATGTACATATTCTCAAACAACCTGACAGCCCAATGAACCCCAATTCAAACCAAATTTAACTGTTTTATGTAAATTATATTGGTCACGTTACAAAACGGTGTCATCACTGAGAATGAGATGCACAACGTCGCCCCCTGTGGCTGTTCCATCAGTCTCGGAAAGTAGGTCAGTTCTTTATAAAAGGCCGTAAATGTAACCGTCGCTTACCTAGTTCAATCGCCGTGTTGAACTTCAGTATTGCGTTGGATAAGTCCAGTTTTTTCCAAAGACATTCCCCTTCCGACCAGTGTCGTCTTGCTTTGCTTTCCGAATTGAACCATTTTCCAATCAAGCCACTGATAATAACATTTACTCTGAGTCCGTCCACAGTAAATTGCCTGGGTGATTTGTTGGTTTTTAAACGACAGCTTCTGCACTCTTTTGCCAGGTCATCTTCCAGACAGCGCTTACAGAAAGTGTGTCCACACACCAAAGACGTCGGTTCCGTCAATAAGCACTTGCAAAGGCGACATGAAAACAAGTCTAAGTTCTGCTCTTCGTCTATCTCAAAACATCTGCTTTCTAAGGTAGAGTCCACGCTTATTGTCTTACAGTCATTCTGCTCTTTAGTACGGATCGTATGCGCTATAACTTCAACTAAAATCTGCAGTTCATCAGGTCTCAGTGCCTGGAGGTTTGCAGCGATGCAATACGAGTCCAGCGCATCGGCTATGCGTCCCCCACGGGCTAGAGCGTCAGCTTTCCGCAGGCAAAGGCCACGGTCGGTGTGCTCGAGCTCGGCGAGCTGAGAAGTATAGATCTCCACGGCCAGATCAAAGTCTCCAGCCCTGCAAGCTTCGTCCGCAACCCCGAGCATTTCCGCACACAATACTGTTGCGGTAGGGCTGGAGAGGTCGTGCACATAATGTTCGGCGTGGTTTTGAATCCCAGCATCCATTGTCTGCTACACCGCATAAAATGCAAATGATTTTTAGGAAAGTGCTCAAAAGTGCAACGTATAGGGCTCTGGTTTAAAGCTTTGGCGGAATCCAGGTCACAAATAACCAAATATAGTCCTATTTTAGTTACTTCACAAGAAAAACACCTTTAACGCAACACGATCTTAATATGGGCAAAAATCAATAACAAGGAGGCCAAAGGCTAAATGTTTATATACACTATTCATTTCCCATTCACCACTGCTAGGCCCACCAAAACATCTAAATGATTGACGGTTCATTTCCCGGTAAAGCAAAAAATAAAAAAAACAGCCCTGTCTAACCTGTGACAAAACAATACATAACACATCTAGCGATATTCTCATTTAAAGTTGTAATGTAAAAAAAAAAAAAGAGACAAACGTTTAAATGTCTTCAAAATAAAACAGAATGAGTTCGTTAGGGTTTGTTTTGAAATCGCATGACGTTACGAGTCTCGAAACACGACGCTGACATGTGAGCAACAGACGAAAGAAAAAGTCGAAAATTTTCACACATCTACTTCAGTGCTGATGATGAGTTTCTTGATCTCTGGATCTATGCTTGATGAAGCATATTCATTACCGACGTTTAGATGACCCATTAGTTTTATGTAAGACTCAATGTCTCCGGCAGCGGTACTTTGCGTAACGTTAATCCTCCCGAACTCTCTTGCTTGGAATACCCTTTAAAACGGTCCTTCTCCGGGGCCCTTTTGTTCTGATCATTCTACAGGATGTCCATGTCTTATACGAGCCAGTAGAAACGGTAAATATTAATCAGTTGTTTTAATAAAATGGAGACAGCTGCGACGTTACCATTCGGTCCGCACTAACACGGGAAAATGTGATACTGTCTGTCTTGCTCTCGTTCACGTAAGAAGCACGTGACGTCAGGATTGAGGCCTCATTGGTGCAATAGCGTCTGTCTGCGGACTGCAAGAGACCCTTCTCCATTGGTGTGTTATATAGCTCACTTATATAATGACAAAACAGTTGTGTAACCTAAAAGGGGCAGGTATGTAACAAAAAAAAAACAGATCATTTCACATAGAAAAAAATATATGGTGTTATATGATGATTTTGAGTCTATGTGAAAGACATTCAAAAACTGACAAGACATTCATAAATGCCACTTGCTAGAACATAGTCACCTAACATTTATGCAAAGTTTTATGTAATTGTTTACTTTATGTAAGATACCATTTAATAGCCTACATTCAGTGTGTAACAATAAGGACTAAACCTTGTTGAAAAAAATTGTAGATATTTATGCAACATGCAGTAGGCTATTTTTTATGTATTTATTAAACACATTATGTACTGAAATAAACATCAGTTTTTATGTACAAGTTAACTTGTACACTAAAATATGGAACAAGCCACACTTAACTGACTTTATTTCAAAGAAAAGCTAAATATTCAAAGTTTCTCAGTGAAAAGTGGCAAGGATGAACTTCTGGGATCTCCAAGTGCACTTAATCCCTGTAGTAATCCTACAACCCCTAAGATCATAGTTAAAAGTAATCCACTGGAAACACCTGTCTGAAGAAGTAAAAGATACCAACCCTGGGCTTTACCATAAAATCTAAATGGAAAATTGTGTTTTATGCAGTGTTTGTTATATAATATATGATTTATCTGTGGACATTTTTTTAAGTTCCCTCATAATATATAATAAAAAATCTTAACAGGCCCACCCCTCACAACAACATCTCTTCTCTGATTACATGTATACTGGTGTGATACATGCTTTAGTAAGCTCTATACGAGAGCACACTATATGAGAGCTCTTGTACTTACATTGATATTAGTATTGTAATTTAAAGGTACCGTGAAAAGATTCAGTGGTTTTCTCAATGGTTATTTACTGAGCAGGAAATTCAGAAGTAACTCAAACTTCCTTAATGATACATGTCTAGAATTTAATCATCTTAGCTGATTATTCACCTGATATGTTAACATTTATGATATTCAAAAGGACTTATTCTGGATATAAAATGTTAGCTGTCTGCTAAACATCTCCTTTTTTAACTTTTTGTCATCTGTTCTTTATCAGGCAATAACTGCTAAATGACTAAATAAATAAATAAATAAACATAATTATAAGCTTATTGGTATCACTACAATTACAATATTACACACAATTACAAGTCATATTGTCACGGTCAGGGTGTTGAGAGATCAGGCAGGACGATGAATAAACGGATATTTAATCAAGAAACAACAGGAGATCCAGACAGGGTAGACAGCAACACACAGGGTAACACTCACAGGAACATGGACATTGACCCACTAGAATACAGGAGACAGGAACTAATATAGGGCAGATAACAAGGGGCAGACAGGTGAGCACAATGAGGTGATTAACTGATAATGAGAACAGGAACAACCAAATAAGGACACAGAGGGAGAAACCACAATCGACAGTCCACAGGGGTGTGAAACATATAATAATCACACACCATTTATAAAACATGCTATATTAGATAACATTTAACCCTCATGTACTGTTCAAAAACAGGTTACTTCCTGTATCTTCTGGGTCAAATTGACCCATATTGGATTCAATGTAATTCCACAAAAATTACAATATATATATATAAACAACATACAATCAAGTACAATCAATTAACTTTTAATATCAATACTTTTCACTCATTACAAAGAATAAATATCTGAATTTATGATTTATAAAAATGTTTTTAACCAATATTTTTGACTGCCCCTCCCCCACTCCTGTGGGATGTTTGCAATTACACATTGTGACGAGTGGGGGCGGGGCCGAGAGTCTTGGGAACTTGAAAGGTTTCAGACTCTAGTTTTCATATTTGGTGACTGTTTTTCAAAGAAATGACACAGCAATAGATAAATGATAGATTCTCCATTTCTGATGTGGTGCCAAACACACTCTTGTTCTATACATCAAGCGTAAGCGTTAGTTCTGGCAGGTCACGTTAGTCAAGCTCGCATCAGCTGACTCTCAGCTGATCCCCATCTACCTATGGGAATACGACACATATCTAAGCATTCTACCCTGGGGGGTTATCGCTGCTCTCCCTGCTCTCATCCATGCTAGACTGCATGGATGCGCAGGGAGTTCTTGCCCTGAACGGAACCATACCGCCAATCCAAACTGTATGCTAATTGTCAATCATCTTTGACGATAGTGGTCCTGACAGAAATATGTTTTTATGTGTTTTAGAGATTGAATTCAAATCAAATATTAAAGTTACTGCTCAAACTATTTCTGAATAGTATGTCTACTTCATAAATATTTAGAAAATTATGGAAATATATGGTTCAGATCACTCAAACAATAAATGGAAATCAAGAGTCCCTGGATATCAACTAGTGGAAAAGTGTGGTATTGCGCTCACAAAATCTTACTTAAAAGTTCATTTATTGAGATATCAACCTAAAATTTGGCACAGAACTTGTTCAGATGTTTGCCTTTGATTTTCTTGAAGATTTGGAGGTAAACATGTTTTGTAAAATATATATTTTACATAAAATATAAAAATATATATTTTAATATTTTACATTTTCATAAATTTAAACATAAAACTTTTTATAAAATGTACTTTTATAACGTTTTTTTTAACTTCTACAATAACCTGTGATGTTTCACCTTTAAAAAGGTACCAAACTTAAGTTTGTGCTCCGAAGTATTTAAGATTTATAAACATTTTAGCTGGAAAAGTCATTTTCATGTCTATGCTCAAAAAGTGGGACTTACAGTTAAAAGGTTAAACAGTTTTGTTTTCACAATCTTTGAAATTAAAAAGTTTTTTAACTCATCAAGACACTGGCACTAGGAGGCACCTCAGGACTAGAGTTGAGGAGCTCTAACATACAAAAAAGGAATTTGTCGTTATTTTATGTCTGTTCTTGTGTCAAATTGACCCGCGAACATCACAAACGTATACAAATTTCTGTATGTACTTTTCACAACACATCAGCATGTTGAAACTGTGTATGAAAACAGCATAAAAACGGTTCATGACCCTAAGTGAGAAAAAGTCACAAAATTTAAAGAAAAAAACAATATGGGTTAAATAGTATTTCAGATAGATTGAAAAAAGAAATGATAGCTAATTTTTACCATCTTTGTCTGACAAAATATTTTTCTGTATTAAAATAAGTGGGGAAAAGCTATTTTTTTTATCTTCATAGGATAGTAAAAATCTAAAATAAAATATAACCAAGAAATGTTATTATTTTGGGTCTGTAGAGTTACCTTAGAACATTAAAATAGGCGGGTCAAATTGACCCAGGGACAGTACGTACGTAACAAAAGTTTTTGTGGACATGTCAAAACACATCCGCGTGTTGAAACTTTGCATGTATGCTCATGACCCTAAATGAGAAAAAGACACAAAATTTCAAGAAAAACAAAAAAACAAAACATAAGTTAACTGATATTTCCAACAACTCAAAACCAAATCGGGTCAAATAAGGGTGAATGCATGGCACATTACAATTCAGAGATGATTTTTATTAAAGGTTCTGTATGTATTTTAATTTTTTTTACTGTACTAAAGCATAAAAAATACCATGTTTGCAGATATTTAGGAAACATGCTAAATTCACATACTTGTTTCTCCTAAAAAACAATGCTTTACAGCCATGAATGTCTGTTTTTGTTTTGGTCTGTGTGATTCACATTTACGTCTCTTTCTGACCAGCAGAGTCAGTGCATCAACCATATCAGGTGAAAGAAACGCAAACTTTATACAGCGTGAAGCAGTGTGTGAGATTATCACTATGGGATTAAAATTGTTCCTTTATTCCAAATAAATAGATTATGATCCATGGATCATCACTGTAAAAATAAATCTTGTGAAAAAAACAGTCAAATCACGGCTGCCAAACAAAAACCGTAAAATTAAAGTAAAATATCTTAATTCAAATAAAGTACAAAAACAATAATTTTACAGATATTTTCATTAAAGGTTCAACAGAAAAAAAACTGTTATTTTTTTTTTACAGAATTTTCCTTGTTTGAATTAAGATATTTTACTTTAATTTTACAGTTTTTGTTTGGCAGCCACTGCTGCCAGTGATTTTTTGACTGCTGCCATTTTATGCAAAAATGCATTTTATTTTTCCCTAAATTCTGTTTTCCATTTGATTTCTTATGGATTCTGTGCTTTATGACAGTACAAATTTATCATAAAAAAATGGTGTCTAGTGAAATGAATTAATAAAACTTTAACAATTTAATCAATCTTTTTTTAGCTGGAAAAGTCATTTTCATGTCTATGCTCAAAAAGTGGGACTTACAGTTAAAAGGTTAAACAGTTTTGTTTTCACAATCTTTGAAATTAAAAAGTTTTTTAACTCATCAAGACACTGGCACTAGGAGGCACCTCAGGACTAGAGTTGAGGAGCTCTAACATACAAAAAAGGAATTTGTCGTTATTTTATGTCTGTTCTTGTGTCAAATTGACCCGCGAACATCACAAACGTATACAAATTTCTGTATGTACTTTTCACAACACATCAGCATGTTGAAACTGTGTATGAAAACAGCATAAAAACGGTTCATGACCCTAAGTGAGAAAAAGTCACAAAATTTAAAGAAAAAAACAATATGGGTTAAATAGTATTTCAGATAGATTGAAAAAAGAAATGATAGCTAATTTTTACCATCTTTGTCTGACAAAATATTTTTCTGTATTAAAATAAGTGGGGAAAAGCTATTTTTTTTATCTTCATAGGATAGTAAAAATCTAAAATAAAATATAACCAAGAAATGTTATTATTTTGGGTCTGTAGAGTTACCTTAGAACATTAAAATAGGCGGGTCAAATTGACCCAGGGACAGTACGTACGTAACAAAAGTTTTTGTGGACATGTCAAAACACATCCGCGTGTTGAAACTTTGCATGTATGCTCATGACCCTAAATGAGAAAAAGACACAAAATTTCAAG